TTGGGGGTCACCACAACATGAGGAACTGTATTAAGGGGTCGCGGCATTAGGAAGGTTGAGAACCGCTGAAGCGGATTAATATTTTTAAAAACAGACAAATCATGCTTTCAACTTTAAAAAAGCGTGGAACACAACACAAAGTTCATATTAAATAAACTAAATGCAACAAATTTTTAACTAAAATACTTTAAATCCTTTCTGTGTACTTAAAGGTTTTTTAAAGTGTATTTGAAAATAGCTACATTTTAATACTATGAAAAAATGGAAAAAGACTGAGAGAAGAATAAAAGTTTTAAAAGTGTAATTTACATTGCAAAATACTTTCCTCCCTTTAAAAGAAATCTCAAAATAGAACATTTTAGAAGAAATATCGGTTTTACATATAACAATTTTAAACCATGTATTCATTTTAACATTTATGAATTAATAATCCTTTGAGGTTTTTGTGGGGGCAGGGGAGTTATTTTCTGCATTTGTAAAACATGCCCCATGTCACAGCAAGTTTTAAATTTATATACATTTCATAGGGTCAATTAAAAACATACCATATCATTATTATAAATGTATAAATGTATAAATGAACAGCATAAACAAACAGTTGTCATCAGTCCAAGTCTATCCTTATCCACAAATGATTATGGAAACTATCAACCCTGACCATTTTCCCGATATTTATTTTTGACCGATAATTATGTGAGCATATGCTATTACAACTTACAAAAAAGTTGTCTATGTTGCTTCTGACTGTATCCAAGTCCTGAGACACATTGAGCGACTGTTCTTTCCAGTAGTTCAGAGTTTGCTGAGAGGATTCCAGCCACTTGGTTAACTGATCTGAGTCTCTGTTGTAACTAACAGGAGCAAAGTGAGAGAGAAAGCAAGTTAGAAATGCACTCCATTGGTGAAATGCAATATGCACCAACAGCATATTTTCTTATTTGACTGCATGTTTTCCTGTGTTGCTCAGCCCCGTTACAGAAAATCATGGTGTTTTTAAGGACTGTACTGTTTTATGCCATGTCCCAAATCTGATTCTCCTGCCGTTTTCTATGACTCTCTTATGACTAAATCAAGAACAAAGTAGCATTTTATTCTTTTTTTTTTTTTNAAAAAAAAAAAGACACAACAACTGGAAAACATCAACGTCAAAATTCCTTCTGAACATGTTTTTCCCCTCAGGAGTAACATTCAAACCTCTTAACAAAAATAACCATGAAAATATTTTGGTCTGTTTATCATAAAAATGGCATTTTGCAGTTTTGTAAAACTCATGGATAACGGTCTATTTGACATGAGAAAGTAAGTGTATGGGGTTTGGAGGAGAGCCCCCAGAAATGACCACAGTTTGCCCTACGCCGTGGGGCATGAGTTATGACTACAGAGCCTGCCAAGCTGCACTGGACAGGTGTGTGTGTCTTCTCACCTGACAATCCAGGAGCATCTTCTGCACCGAGATCACACTTTCTGGTTTTTGTAAGGTTTTCAGTCTCTCCTCTTGCGCCTCCATCCAGTTGTTCAAAATCTGTATTTTGTTTTCATTCTCAGTGATACTTTCCAAAAGTTGTTCTAAACGTTGTATCTACAAGTTAATGAATAAGAAAATAAAAATTTCTTATTTTATTTAATGTGCTTTAAAATGTAAATGCCATGATTGTGATTTTAAATAGGATCATTTTGCTTCATTTTAGATTTCCAATATTTTGCAAAATAAGATCTCCCAATAACTTTTGGAATAGATTCATTAAATCAGGAAATAGATTTTTTTTAAGGTGGATTTTATTTCTAACATTTGAAATGAAAACTAATCTGCTAAAAAGATGGCTGTTTTAGAGTTCCATAATATCTGAAAAAGATGAAATCATGTGGCTAACATTCAATATTATATATTTACATGTATACATATATATAGTACATGTAAAGTTTTGTATTCTTTTTCTAATATGTCACACGCACTTCCTGTGTCATGACATATACCCTACATTAATTTGAAAGGCTACCCAATATTTCATCAGACACAGTACAACTTGATTAATTATTCCTCTCTAGCTGGAAATTAAAGCATTATACTTTTACCAGCATAAATAATTGTGAATTGAACACTCTGTGCACATTATCTTTTCCTTTTTGAAGGACTATTTACTTAAGATAAATGTGTAAGAGGTGCACTGCTGTGTTAAGAGATAAGATAGATGACTATTATGGTTCTTGAAATTTTCAAAATGTTTTCCAAAAGGGTCATATTTAAGCTATTATCTGCAAGGTATGAATGTGATAGCTTTGGGCTTTTATTTTTACCTTATTAAAACTTTCTAATTTAATAAGTGTGTAATGTTAATGTTTGAGTGATTAAAAGCTGAAGTTGTAATCGTTCCATATTAATTTGCTAATTATAATTTTCTCTTTTGTGAATTGTCTTTCTTTGTCCATTAATGTGCTTGAATCTTAATTGTATAGATCCCTTGTATGCATTCTCTACATAATAAATCAACCAATTGTCACTATCAATTATATGTAAATATTAAATATTTTTCCAAGAATAATTCTTCTTAATCTTTTCTGAGTCATGGAATGAAAGTCTACAAAAAGGCCACATACATTTTTCTTCCTTTTTATAATCTTTTCAAAGCTGAAATACTTGGCCCCTTTTGAACATCTACTTTCAGAGAAAATGTCAAAATCTCTGGCCATTTAGTAGCCTCACATAATCCTAGACTTCTTAATAAAATGTCTCCTCTTCACTTGCCTAACTCAATTTCCCACAAAGAAATCTCAAAAGAAACATAAGAACTATTTCATACTCTTTTGGAGAATGCTAAAACAGTTTCTTTAGCACAGTCTGAAAGGGCTATAATTGAGATTATTAGGCTTAACTGTAAATCAACTATATGAATGTCTTTTAACATTTTTCAGAAAGTGGTATTTTGCAGAGGCCAAATGCTACATCAAACTGTGACATATGGGCACACCTTTCTATTTAATGTTCCATGGACCCGGTGCCACTGGCGGTTCATCTCTCCCAGGTGCTCGGCAAACTCCGTTCTTTCATAGCGCTTACTTTCTACATCACAGGTGCTTAACTGAAGTAATGACTGGTTAACAAAATCAACTATCCACTGTTTACAGTCCATTTCCATTCTAAACTCCTAAAACAAAACAAACAAAATTAAACAACCAAAGTCTGAACTGAGGTCGGTCAGATGAACTGGAGGTCTCCTTTGATACACTCTAGGGGGCGCCAAGCTCCCATCCATTAATCATGGGGCACTGGTCAGGAGGTATGTTTTACCTTCTCCAACCCCACCAGGTACCTGCTTTATTTGAATGAAGACTCTTTTTGGAAACACCAAAGAACATTTATTTAACACCTATCTGCTGCCAGGTATTGGAGCTAGGCGTGCATTTTCAGGGAGGTGAAGGGTAGCCCCTGCTCTCAAGAAGCTAAGTCAAGGTGGGGAGACAGAGCCTTTTGAGCTTCCTTTGCTTGGCCTGCTCCAAACTCTTTGGAGTGTACTTTCTCTTCTAATAATGGCCCTTGAACCATTCTCTCCTGTTTGGGCCTGCTTCTGCTTCTTTGAAATGTAATTTTTCTTCTAATAAACTGTCCTTTTCTGAAACTTTAAAAAAAAATGGTGGGGAGACAGGCAAGCAAGCGAATAGTTATGATACAGCGTGATAGGAATTAATGATAACACCTAATCCCAGAAGGTAAACTAATCTGGCCAGGAGTCAGGGGTAGATTTCCAAATGAGAAGATACTTGAGCTTACTCCTGAAAACTGACTGAGAGGGTTCCTGCAGCTGAAAGTGGAGCACTGGAATTCCAGGCTGAAGGTGCAGCAAGTACAAAAGCGAGAGGGAGGAGGGAGAACAACAAAAGCAGTGGAGGGACCGCAAATCATTTGGTTCAGGCAGATCCCAGGGTTTGCGTGG